AAAAAAAAAAAAGATAGCTGTTGTATGTTATTGCATTTATGGGGTACAATGTGCTGATTTTATATACAATTTGGAATGCAGATTTTCTATTTTTAGTAGAAACAAGGTCTTGCTTTTGCTCAGGCTGGTCTTGAACTTGTGAGCTCAAGCAATCCACCTTCGTCGGCCTCCCAGAGTGCTTAGGATTACAGGCGTGCCTGGTTATTTTTGTTGTTGTTGTTGTTTTGGGCCAGGTTTGAACCTGCCACCCTCAGTATGTTGGGTCGGCGCCCTACCCACTGAGCCACAGGCACTGCCCTCTCTTTAAAAATTTTTTTTGCACAGGGGCCATGCTAATCTTCCAATTTTAGTGTATGTGCTGCTGAAGTAGAAAGTGTCTGCTGTCCCTTCTCTAACAATACTGGGAAAGAGAAGTGCACTTAATTTTCTACACAAATTATTTACAAATAATCTTTGGGCTGGGCACAACGGCCATAGCTCAAGAGGCTAAGGCGCCAGCCACATATACTGGAGCTGATGGATTTGAATCTCGTCCGGGCCCACCAAACAACAATGACAACTATAACCAAAAAATAGCTGGGTGTTGTGGCAGGTGCCTGTAGTCCCAGCTACTTGGGAGGCTGAGGCAAGAGGGTCCTTAAGCCGAAGAGTTTGAGTCTGCTATGAGCAGCGATGCCACAGCATTCTACCAAGGTGACAGCTTGAGACTCTGTCTTAAAAAATAAATAAATAAATAAATCCATTGGCTGACACCCACAGCCAGAGTTGGCAAGGATCACAGATAAGCATCACGCTTGTAAACTCCCTAGGGCATAGTCTCTGTCCATAAGTGAATTAGCCTAGAGCAGATATTGATGCAGCTTAGCTGTACGTTATGTCAGTCTTATCTACCCTTCTAGTGTTGTGGCTCACCTGGAATGACAGCACACAGCCATCGTATTACTTGAAAGCCATCCTGGTTCTAATTGTCTATGAGTATGACATTGTTCGGCATCCGAATAAATCACTTTGTAAAGGATTTTGCCCATTTCCTTTTAGCACTTTGTTAGGTAATGTAGGTTACTGTACTGTCGGTGTTATCCTGTGCTCACCCATTTGGAGTTGTACTCCTATTTCATTTTTTTCTTTTTTTTTTGAGACAGAGCCTCAAGCTGTCCCCCTGGGTAGAGTGCTATGGCATTACAGATCACAGCAACCTTCAACTCCTGGGCTCAAGCGAGTCTGCTGCCTCTGCCTCCCAAGTAGCTGGGACCACAGGCGCCCTCCACAATGCCCGGCTAGTTTTTGGTTGCAGTCATCGTTCTTTGGTGGGCCTGGGTTGGATTCGAACCTGCCACCTTAGGTGTATGTGGCCGGCACCTTAGCCACTTGAGCCACAGGCGCCAAACCTCCGTTTTTTCTTTTATGTTACCAACTTCATGCCTTCTGCCCTTTATCTTTTCTTACAAGCCTGAGATTCATAGGGTGACTTTTATAAAAAGTATAAATTATTCCATTCTGCTACTTCTTTCTCACCTCCACCTGAATTCCATGGTCTCAGTTATCTAAGGTCAATTGCAGCCTAAAATATTACTACAGTTAAGATAACACATCCTGACTTGGCACCTGTAGCTCAGGTGGCTAAGGCACCAGCCACATACACCAGAGCTGGCGGGTTCAAATCCAGCCTGGGCCTGCCAAACAGTGACAAGTACAACCAAAAAATAGCCAGGCATTGTTTAGTCATTGTTAATCTTGTTTTGTGTCCCATTTATAAATTAAACTTATTATAGGGTGGCAGGTTTGAACCCAGCCCTAGCCAAACTGCAACAAAAAATAGTTGGACGTTATAGCAGGCGCCTGTAGTCACAGCTACTCAGGAAGCTGAGACAAGAGGATCACCTAAACCTAGGAGCTGGAGGTGGCTTTGAGCTGTGATGCCAAGGCACTCTACCAAAGGCTACAAAGTGAGACTCTGTCTCTAAAAAAAAAAAAAAAAATTAAATTTATTACAAGTGTATGTACAGTAGAAGAAAAAAACATACCATATGTAGAGTTTCTGTGCTACTTAGGGTTTCAGCCATCCACTGAGGATTTGGGAACATACTACCTTGGATAAGGAGGGACCACTATATTGCTCCACAAATTACAGTATAGTGGCCTGTCCTGCCCATGTAATTCACAGAAGGCAGCATCGGAGAGAACACACGAAGAGAATGTGGAAATCTGGGTGTGATTCTTGAGTTTGCATCCACATCTATAGAGCGCAGTGGGTCAAGTGTATGATCTCCGAGGCTTCGACCTCAACTATGCTGGCTGCTGTGCTCCCAGCACTGTCCAGCTTTGACACGGTGTGGCTCTTCAGAGTTAATGAAGTGGGTAGGATTTGCCGTGCTTTCTCATTAAATGGCTTTAACATTTTAAGGCCTCTGGTCATGCTCACAAGCCAGCAGCATTACAGAGCTGCTTGGTGGGTGACCCAGTTTGTAGTAAGCAGGGGTCCTCAGACTTTTTAAACAGGGGCCAGTTCACTGTCCCTCAGACTGTTGGAGGGCCGGACTGAGGGCCCCGGGACAAGTCGGCTGCTAAGCAGGACAGGCAGCGGTGGCAAAAACACCTGGTGGGCCAGATAAATGTCCTAGGCGGGCCGCAGTTTGAGGATGCCTGGCCTAGAGAATCTGTGAGAGAGGAGTCTACCTTCTCCTCATTGCTACTCTTCTCTGTTACCATCTCTTTCCCAGCAGCAGAATTGCTTAATCTTTGTCAGGCTACCTCATTCTCCAATGTGTTTGTCATTTTCTAGATCAGTGGTTCTCAACCTTCCTAATGCTGCAGCCCTTTAATACAGTTCCTATGAGTTGCGACCCCCAGGTTGAGAACCGCTGTTCTAGATCCTCTCCAGTTTTTTTTCTTTTATGAAAAAACTAATCTATTACTTTCCCCTATCATTCCACTTTCCTACTGAGGGCTTAATTCTTTTTTTTTTTTGAGACAGAGCCTCAAGCT